GTGGGACAGTGAATGGTCCCTGACTGAGCCCTTGCACTCTCCTGCCTCCTTACCTCAGTGCTCCCGGAGCCCTGCCCCCACACTACCCGCTCTGTCCACCTTCCTCTGGGCTGTAGCATTACTTAAGCTCCTATGGCTGTTGGGATCCCGAGTGACTGTAAAAGGGAAGGAATGTCCACAGGCAATTGTTTCTTCCTGATATCACAGCGGGGAGGGGGGCAGGACAAGAGTTGGGGGGCATGGCAGGAATGGTGGTGTCAGGATTTGCCCTGAAACTTATCTTTCTTGTGCTGGCCCCCTTCTCAGGCTCAGCCAGCTCCCACCCCTCTCATCTGCCTCCCTGGTGTCCCCCTGGCTTAGGACACTCGGGCTGCCTGCCTCTCTCAGCTTCCTCCACCTGACCCCAGACCTTTTTCTCTTCCTTCACTGGCACCCCCACCCCAGTTCTCAAACACCCCTCTTATGCCTCCTCCTCATCACCACACACCCCCACGTGGCTCCTCCGGGAGGCCCCATAACTCCAACCCCCTCCTGCCATGCACTCCTTTTACAGACATGGAGAGTTGCAGGTTTTCTGCCAAAGTAGGATAAGTCTGGGGCGAATCTCACCTCCTCCCAGCCCCCAACTTCTACCAAATAGGACATCCAGCAGGCTAGGGGAGGAGGTAAGGGGGAAAGGGAGGAGGAGGGCAGAGACAGGAGGAGGGGGGATGGCAGGACCTGGGGTGGGGGGGTCGATGCGACTGAGCTCCCAGAGGTGAAAAGTGTTCTGTGGGTTCTGAGCAGCCTGTAAATTTCAGATGTCATTGTCATCAGTAAGAGATGGGCTGCTGGGGGGATGGGCATGGAAGTCCCATGGGCAACGGGGAGGGGGCTTCGGTAACAAGAAGAGAAGCCCCCTTGGAAGGCATCTTGATGCGTTGGGAGCTGTGTGGCTGGGAGGCAGGAGACTCCCTGGCCAGCTCCAGCTACGCTGTGTGACCTTGGATTGGTCTCGGTTCCTCCCTGATTGAAGTGAAATATCCTGGACATTCCTCCCTACTCTGACCCCCAAGGAGAGGCGTGAGAGGACTTTTTCTTCTGAATCGAAACTTTGGTGCCTCCCAGAGCAGCTGAAGCGTCTCAGCTCACCCCCAGACTCTCCATCAATAGGGACCAACCTCTCAGCATCTCCCCAGAATAGACCCAGTCCCACTGTGCGTTGATGACATGCAGCTCCCCTGACTACAGAAACAGAATCCACTTCTTCTTTTGATGCTCTTCTCCAGCCCCAGGACTGCCAGGCCTCCTCTGTCCTCACCCAGGTGGCCATCCACACACCCTGAGCACTCCGTCCTGCCCAACAAACCTGGGCTCACACACATGCCTTGCCCCTCCCCAATTCAACCACCACCCCACAATTCCCAGCAGTTGTAGGGGAGGCCCCCAGACTTCTCCAAATCCCACCCAGTCTCTAGCTGTTTCTGGAAGAGACAGAGACCCAAGGCAGAGGACCCCCTTCCTAAGCACAGGCACCCCTTCCCCTACACAACCCCCAGGAGAACAGGGTCTGCCTGGGCGGGACAGGGAAGGGGAGTCTGAGAACTGGGTGTGAGGGTGCTGGGTGGTGGGGGAGCTGCTGATGTGATACAGGATGGCACCCAGCCCTGCTCCAGCCTCCACAGAAGGCGATCTTACAGTCCCGGCACCCTGCATAGCCTCTGAGGCCTCACTGTAATCCCTCTGCTGAAATGTAAGCCCCTCTTTCTCAGCTCAGCGAGCAAGCGGCAGCTTCCTCTCCCCGCTGGAATTCTCCCTCAGGTTCTTAGTGTGTCACTCAGCTGCTCTTCTCCCTGATTTACCCCCATTCCTTTCATCTTTCCTCATATGCTTTTTTGGTCTCAGTCCCTCCAGTTTGGTCATATCCCTGCTGTCCTGGGCCCTTTCCAGGTTTCCTACATCCTTATGAGACAGTGGAGTACTTTAAAGGGCCCGGGCGGGCTGGCCATGACCTCACAGGGCCACTATGCACGGTTCTATCTATAACCTTATAGGATCATCCTCTCTCCCTCCACCAGCTGAGTCACAGGCAGCTTGGGGTCCCCTCAGTGCCTTCTCAGTCACTCCAAGCCACCAAGCACCCTGAGCTGTTGTTGCTGTTGAGAGGGAGGCTTTGTTCTCCAAACCATCCAGGTACACAATGAACATGAGCCTTGGGTTCTAGAAGATACCCTTTCTTAGTGCTCAGTATTGTTATAGCCCCAGCCCTCCACCCTTCTGCTTCTCATGCCTGCCCAGAGGGCCAGTCCATGGCCTAAATTCCATTTGACACTGCACAGGTGTGGGTGAGGGGAAGAACTTGAGGGGCTGCTTGATCTAATGCCTGAATTCAAATCCTGGACCTGCCACTTTGCCTCTCTGAGCCTCCGTTCCCCCATCTATAAAATGGTAATAACAGCGCAGGGTTGTGGGAAGATTAAATGAGAAATTATAAGGCACTTAGCACAGTGCGTGGCACTTGGTGAGGCCAGCCATTACTCAAATGTTGTCCCCTTTTTGACTGATAAGGAAACCAGCTTGAGTTGGTCCAAGAACTGGCTTGAATCCTTGCTTAAGATCAGCAGGTGTAGGGTCAGAACAGCCTAATCCCTAAGCTCTCGTCCCAAAGCTCTATCAGAAGCTATATGCCTCCAATAATCATTAGTTACCCACCTACTGAGCACTGATGGTATACCAGACCCAGTATTCTGGGCACCTTGACATAGGAAATCATTCTATCTTGAATCTTCATGACACCGGAAAGTAAATGTTATCCTCATTTTATAGTTGTGGGTACTAAGCTCAGGGAGATTAGGTAGATTCCCTAAGATTGCACAGCAAGAAAAACAGTCTGGATTTTAACTCAGTTGAACTCCAGCTCATTTCTCTGTGGCTTCCAAGGCCTTGCTGGAAACTGACTGGGTGGGCTTAGACCTTGGCCCTCCACCTTTGAATGGGGCCCTACCTGGGGATCTCCATTGAAAAGCCCCTTGCCCAGTCTTGGCAACAGTCTCCCTCCCAACATTCTGTCCACTTTCCTCCCCAACCCCAGGGCCCCCCACCCCCAAGCAAGGGGGCTGAGCTTGGAGGGGGCAGGTGGGGGGTGGAGTCAGACCCCATCAGCAGAGGTATCTGCCCTTCATCTCACAGGAGGGAAGGCACCAAAGATTTCCTATCTGGGGCATAGAGGCCAGTGGGGCTGCCAGCCTTGTCTCCCTCAGGCCAGTCAGGCACTGGGGCTCCCCTACAGGTTGGAGAGGCTCCCCTAAGTGCGTTCTGGCCCCAGACTGCCCCCAACTGGCCAGGGAGTGAGGACGCAGCAGCCTCACCCTTCTGGACTGGATGGGCTGCCTGGGCACAGGGTCTGGGGCCAGACTGGAGCCTCTAACCTCAAGTTCAGAAGAAACCCTGGAGTCCCCTGTTAACTGCTGGGGAGTCCCACTGCCCCACTGCCATGCCCCAGAGCCATCAAGACACAGCCAGATATGCTCCCCTCCCCAATTTTAAAGATCCAGAGAGATAGGTTGTTGGAAACAGTTCTGGAGTCATTTCTCCCCACCCAAGGGGTCAGAACCCTCTTCCCCAACTGTCCCAAAGAACCTCCTAAGCCCCCTCCCCACTCAGCTTCAATGAGACTGGCCAGCCCCTCCCTCGGCCCTCCCCCAGCCTGGGCCTCCACCCAGGCACCAGAATAGACCACAGACAGCCAGCTCTGGCTCGGGGCTCGTCACAGCCGGTCCTGCCACTCAGACTGGGGGAGGGGCTGGGATGGGAGGCGGGGCCAGAGAAGGGGGGATTGTGGAGGGGGACTCCCAGGCCCTTGCTCACTTCCAAATGCTCCTCTGCTTTGTGTGCAAAGAGCATCCACCAACACCCTGCAAGCAACAGCTCCACCACTTTCCAGCCAGGGCAAGGCTTGGAGCTCTAGACTCCCTCAAGATGGAGCTCGGGCTGAGTCACCTTCCCCAGCTTCCCCTTGTCCATCTCTGCCTCATCCAACTTATCCCACCTCTCTTCTGAAATCTCCCCTCCCCTCCCATCCCAAGTCCTCTACCTCTCCAGGAGTCTGTCCCCCATCTCTCCCTCTCTCTGGTCTCTGGGTCTCTGCCTTTTTGCCTCCCCCATCTGAGTGAGGATGGCCTGGCTTGGTGACCCCACATTCCAGCCTTGCTGGGGTTAGGAGGGCTTCCTGCCTGGTGCGGGATCCCTGCCCCCACCCTGCAGCCTCTCCGGGCGGTCCAGCTGCCGGCCCTTTGCAGCTCCCCTCGGGGACACCTCCCCCAGCCCCTGCCCGATTTAGCTCCTTTAATCTTTGCTGTAATCCAATCCGGCCGTTTCCTCAGCACACACTGCCCTTCCCAAACTGCCAGTGCCGGAGAGGGGAGGGCAGGGCAGCCTCGGCTCTTCCCAGGCCTGGAGCACCCCCACCCCATCTCAGGTCCTCCTGCCCCACCCCCTCGCTTCTCCCCGCCTGGGAGGTCCCTGGGAGCTCTGCCATCTCAGGCTGGCCTCCCGTGCCCAAGCCTGGGACAGTCCTGCCTCCTCACCTTCTGCTTTCCCACCTCTGGGCCTTTGCTCGGAGCTACTCCCTCAGCCTGAAACATGCTCTCCTCCTGGGGCGATCCTTCCAGGACACTCATCCCTCCCCCCCTTCCTGGCCACTCCAGCTCATTCCCCAAATTCCAGTAGGGACTCTGGAACCAGGCCTCCTGGACCCCTAATCTTGCGGTCAGGTTCAGAGTCAGTGGGTTGCTGCCCACTCCCTGGCTCCATCCCCCCATCTGTAAGTGGGGGTCATAATAGCACAGAGCCCAGAGGGGGGCTGTGAGGATTCATCCAGTTACTTTATGTAAAGTGCTTAGAACAGTTCTGGGCACATAATAAGCACTCTAAGTGTTAAGCGAAAATTATCTTTTCCTGCCTTGTATTGCAATTTTATTTCCTCTAAGTTAAGACGCCATGAATTGCGAAACACTCCATTTATTTAATAACATCATTTCTGGGGAAAAAAGAAACATTGCCACATGAAATGTACAAATTGTAAGTCATCTTCCAATTTCATCTGTGTCAATTGTTCAGTAACAATATTTGTGCAGTATACTCATCTCTCTGCTTCTGTCCAGAGTCCGTTTTTCAGCTTCGCCATCATTCACTGTTTATGGTCAATGCCTAAGGACGTGGGTTCAAGTCCCGATTCCCCGATTTTAGTTAGCTGAGCGACTTTAGGTAAATTCTTTGGTTTCTTTAAGCTCCAGTTCTTCCTAAACAGCCAAGATAACTCACATATCTGTAGTGAATATCAAGTGAGATAATATATATTTAAGATGTTTAGCACCACAGTGGGCATTCAACACAGAGCTATCATTATTGTGAGGATTTAAAAATGCTTGTTGGATTGAGTCAGGACTCTCCAAAGACGTGGGAGATGAAGAGCTGGTATTTCATGGTCAAAGTGCCCTCCAGTGGCCATAGGGGAAAGTGCAGGTTCCTGATGTACGTGGGGGGGTCCTGGCTGGTTCAGGAACCAGTTCCCACACCCAGGTCCATGCCAGGTTAACCCCAACCCCATCTGGAATTCTTCACATTGCAGAAGTACTAGGGGGCTTTTAAAAAGCGCTTCATAGAATAAGCGCGTGGAGGCAAAACTTTAACCACAGAACTGCACAGACAGCCCAGACATCGATACTGTCTCTTAAAGCTGTGGCCCGGGGAGGGAACAGGTGGAAAGCTGTGTGGACATGCATTCTCCCCGCACATGGACCGTGGAATCTGGCTTGTGAGAAACCTCTGTTGCAAAAAAAACTCTGGCATAAACCAAACAAAGCCTCCCCCACCCAAATCACTATTCTGTGCTTTGACAGATCTGTGCACCCAGGCACCCACCCTACGTCCCTCCTTCCTTCCTTCTTTCTTTCCGTCCTCCACCCATCAATAGTTATTGAACACTGGCTGTGCACCAAGCCTCACGTCCTAGGTTCTGGGGTTAGAGATCAATGTAACACAGACACAAACACAGCCACCGAGAGCTGTTCACAATGTCCCAGACACCACACGCAGAGTTAATCCTCGCACTGGAGTGTTTATGGCTGCGCTGCGGCTGAGTGGAGGCGCAGCCGCAGGGACATAGATCCAAGCTGCCCCACCTCCCCTGATGAACTGTGTCCATAATGGCAACGATCTGACCCTGTTGGGGTGCTGACTTCTTCCTCCCTGGTCACACACTCCCTTGAGAAGTCTTCCGAACACTGACCAAATGCCCAACTCCACCCGCCTCTGTCCCTGAGCTCCCCTCCCACCCCCACTGCCCTTCTCCCCAGACCCAGCCCTGGGAGTCGGGGGTGGGGGATGTATTTTTAAGGCACCCTTGGAATGGATGGTCTGGATATGGATCTCACCCAATACTAGCAGCCCAGCCAGCTCACTGACCACTTCCCCGTTGTCCAGTGCTGAGAGGAAAGGGCCTTACTTGAGAGCCAGTGCATGAGAGGTGGCTGGAGGGTCATCTCTGGAAGGTGGCAGGACGGGGAGGAAGGGTGGGTGATGGAAATGCGTGTTGTTCCCCAGACAAGAGGCCTCCTTGAGCTGCCATCCCCTCTCCTTCCCTACAAGATCAAACTTCTCTGAGAATCTTCCCGCACTCTTCTTCAGTGCCCCCTTGCTAGCTCCCGATTGTTCCTTTTCCTCAAAGTCTTCCCAGCTGCAGTAGCGCAGGCTACTGTGCTGGTCCCAGCTAGGTTCCCTCAACTCCTAGACCAGTGCTGTCCAACAGAGATGTAATGGGAGGCACAGGTGTCATTAAATTGTCTTGGGAGTCAGTTTTAAAAAGCAAAAGATGGGGCCTCCCTGGTGATGCAAGGGGTTAAGCACAGCACTGTGAAGCCATCAGCAGCCTCTGCAGCACAAGTTCTATGCCCAGCCGGCCAGGGAGCTGCCCACATGGCGCAGCAGACCTCTCCTGTCTCTCCTGCTGCTCCCTTCAGCAGTGTGTCTCAGTCAATCTGCCTGTTCTGCTCCCCCACCCCCAACCCCTGCATCTCTGGCCTACACCGGAGTTTTTGTATGCATAAATAAATAAATCTTTTTTAAAAAAGCAGAAGACGCAGGTGAGAGAAATTGTAATAATATATATATAAAATACAATGTATTCAAAGTATTGTCATTTCAACCTGTCTTGATATTTAAAAATTAAGATACATTTTTTAAAAGATTTACTTATTTATGCATACAAGGACTGGGGTACAGGCCAGAAGTGTAGGAGGAAGGGGATGAGAGGATCCACCAGAGACAGAGTAGGGAACAGAACAGGCAGACTGACTGAAATACACTGCTGAGGGAGCAGCGGGTGAGACAAGAGAGGTCTGCCTCGCCATGCGGGTTTCTCCCTGGCAGGCCTGAGTATCAAACTTGTGCTGCAGAGGCTGCAGACTGTCTCATAGTGTGGTGCTCAACCCCTTGAGCCACCAGGGAGGCTCAGGATACATTTTTCTAATAATCTGATATGGATTTCATTTTATATATAAGGCAACTTCTCCATTCATTCTAGCCATACTCCCAGTGCTCAAGAGGCACTGCCTGGCGGCTCTCAGGCAGTGGAGTTCTAGAGCCTTGGCCCACTACTGGGCACACACGCCTCCTCTACATGAGCTTAATCATCTCATCTCCTGGTGTCCTGCCCCACAGGGAGATCAGAAGCCCCCCCACCCCTGCCCCAGACTGAGTCCTCATTTCATTCATCTCTACCTCTCCCATGACACCTTAAAACTTTGCACCCCACTCAGAAGGCTCTCCAAGCATGTTGTTGAAGGGAGTGAGCGTTGAGGATTGATTTTTGTGGTTTAGTTATGGCTGTAAATGGTGTTTTATAGATTGCTTCTGTAGATGCACCCTGCTGCAATATTAGCAGAAACAAGCAGCCTGGTTGTCAGCAAAGGCAGGGCCTCAGGGCAGATGGGGCTCCCTGCATGGGAGGGTGCGGAAGGGGGGGTGGTTCTGCCAAGCCACAAACCATTTCTCTGGTTTAAGAGCCTGTCATTGCACAGTGTGCTCTGTCTGCAACCCCCTCTGCCCTGGAGCCCGGGGATAGCCCGGGTCAGCGTGCTATTACACAAAGGAAGTGTGTCTATCACCCCACAGCCAGATTAGGAGCTGCTCTGGGCAGGAAAGGAGTCATTCCGGTCCATGAGGGCCTGAAACATAACAAACGCTTGAGACATGCTTGTCACGCGAATACAGGCACAGAGGGCTGGAGCCAGGAAAGCCTCTCCGGTGTCCACACACCTGCAAAATTGTTAGTGTGCACTTACCATGGTCAGGCACTGTGCAAGGCACTGGGGATTCAGCAATGAATCCAGCAGGGGCAGCTGTGTCCTCCTGGTGAGGAAACAGACAATAGACACATAATAGACCACCCCCCACCCCAAGGAAACAAAGGGGCCCAGGTGGAGAATGAGGCTGGAGGTCTTCAAGAAAAGAAGAGCCTGGGCCTCCCTGGTGGCGCAAGGGATTAAGCACAGCACTGTGGAGCTGTCCGCAGCACAAGTTCGATCCCCTGCCAGGGAGCTGCCCACATGGCGCCCCAGACCTCTCCTGTCCTGCTCACCCGCTGCTCCTCTCGGCAGTGTATTTCAGTCAGTCTGCCTGTTCTGCTCCCCACTCTGTCTCTGGTGAATCCTCTTACCTCCCACACCTCTGGCCTGTACCCCAGTTCTTGTATACTTAAATAAATAAATCTAAAAAAAAGAAAGAAAAGAAGAGCCTGTATTTGTGGCCTCCTGATACAAGACCACCCTCCCCTGGGGTCAAGGCTCATCTAGACACTGCCTGAGGCTCGGGTCCTGTGAAGATGTTACTGATTCAAATTGCATTGATGATGTCATAATGGGCTCCATCAGATGGATGGAGAACCCCGCAAGTTGGAGCAGAGGGACCCAGGGCAAGGGACGAGCTGGCCAATAGCCTAGTCACTGGGCCTCTGACGGACCTGGCCTGGCCCTGGAGGAGGCCAGCTGACGACCATGACGCTCAGCCTCTCCACCACATCCATTCCCAACAACTGGTTCCCAGGCTACCCCGAGGTAATCAGCTGCTCCCTCGGTCTGTCCTGGGCGGGAATGTCCCAGCCACAGCAAAGTGCCCACCTGGGAGCTGGGCTGTCTTAAGGATTGTGGGGGATCAAAATGAGCCAGATATGGTCCCTTCCCTCCCCTTTCTGACAAATTAGACCTAGAGCAGGTGGCGGATTAGAGTAATAATCCTCTTCCTTCTGGCTAACTTGATAAGTATTTATGGATTCATTTCAAATAGCCCTACCTGGTTCCATGGCCTCTCTCTCCATGTTGCCCCCAAGCAGGGCTCTGAGTTCAAGGGCAGCCCACCCACTGGCAGTAGTATTTTTGAAAATGGAGATTAGTTTTTCTCAGAAAGGTCTAAGGATAGCAGAAGTATTTGCATTGTAGGTTAAAAATGCACATCTCTGGGGCTCAGCCAAAGCTTCCCATACAGAATTTCAAGTGTAGGGTTTGTAAACCTGCATTTTTAAAAAAAGATTTATTTATTTATGCATATAAGACCTGGGGTATAGGCCAGAGCTGGGGGGGCGGGGCAGTGAGAGGATTCACCAGAGACAGAGAGCAGAACAGTTGGATTCACTGAAACACACTGCTGAGGGGAGCAGCAGGCAAGGCAGGAGAGGTCTGCTGCTCGATGTGGGCCAGCCCCCTGTCTGGGGATCGAACTCGTGCTACAAAGGCTGCAGATTGCTTCATAGTGCTGGCACTCAACTCCCTGCACCACCAGGGAGGCCCCGAAAACTGCATTTTAAAAGTACTCCAGGTGGTGCTGACCCTGAGAACCTATCCCAGCTCCCAAGGCCCCTGTCTGGCTGACCAGGGATGGGTGTTGACGTTGATATTTTTATCACTGATGAAAAGCCATGATTCATTCATAGGCTGCTGGCGGCCAGCTGTCCATTTGGAAGGAATCAGAGGCCACTGAGAGCAGAATTCTCTATCTTTCGACCCATCTATAAAATGCTTACCTGAGCAGACACTGTTTAAAGGCCATTAAAATACCAGACACAGAATAACCCAGTCCCTGGAACTTTATAGACATATTTACTCAAACCCCAGTGCTTGTGAAGAGTAAATAAAAAGGAAGCAAAATGAGCAAGCACCCCTGGAAATACGAACTGAAAGTAAACAGCCCTGTTCACTAAAATAAACAGGACAAATCCAGAGAGGATTAAATGACCTCTAGTCAGGCAGACGCAGAGCCAGAAAGGCCCATGTCGGCTGCAGGAGGAAGGAGAGGTGAGGTTCTGTCGCTGCCACCCGTGACCCATGGGCACCGCCTTGCTGGGGCCAGGCCAGGTCTGCAAGAGGGTGTGTGTGCTCCCAAGCCTCCCTGGAAGACTTCCAAGGGGGCTGAAAATCTCCAGAACTAAAAATCAAGGGTGTGCCCTGCAAGGTCTTTGGGAAAATGTGTGGGTACCTTCAGCCACTGTTTCATATTCTGACCACTTCTTCACTCATTTAGCAAACATTTGTTTAGCACTGGCTGTGTTTCAGGCCCTGTGCCAACCACTAAAGATAGCAAGATGAGTAAGGCCTAGGCCTGCCCTCGCTGGCCCCTAGTTTAATAGGAGAGATAATAATAGTGAGCATGTTTTGCTCACTTACTAGGGACACGGTAACTGATAAGCACCCAATGTGTTATCTCAGTACATTATGGGGTTATCACTGGTATCGCCCCCATTTTACTGATGAGAAAACCGAGGCTCAAAGTCTGCGGTATGATGATAAATGTTTAACATCAGCTCTTTGGAAGAAGGGAGAAAAAAAAAAGGGAAGGCCTAGTTTGTAGCGTTTGCCAATCTCAGCGCATCAGTGTTCCCAGATGGGTTTCAAGCCACCAGCCTGATGCGGCTGAATGTGGAGTTCACCCCGGGCATGGACGTGGGAGCTGGTTGCAGCTAATAAACAGAGGAGCCAGAATTTGAACTCAGGGTGTGAGATCCTAAGCCCACATGTAAACCACCCTGTTACACTATCAATAACTACAGTAGCAGTTTGTGGACATGAGAGGGATGCATCTTAAGACCTTTGTGAGGTGCCGGTTTTTATAGCATTCCATAAAACTTCTAAGGTTAATAACTGCCTATAACTCTTTGCTTTTATTGCCAGCCAGAGCAGTTGGTCTTCTTTTGCAGGCCATTAAAAAAAGTTTTTATTTTGAAATAATTATATATTCACGGGAGTTTGAAACAATCGTCCAAAGAGCTCTTTCATTCCCTTCACGCTTTTCCCTCAATGAAAAACACACCATCTCACAACCAAGCAAGTGACATTGGTTAAATGTGTGCGCATAGGTCTGTGCCATTTTATCTAGGATTGCCAGACCTAGCAAATAGAAACACAGGACACTCAGTTGAAGTTTACATCTAGTGGGCCTCCCTGGTGGCTCAAGGGGTTAAGACACAACCTATGAAGCTGTCCACAGCCACTGCAGCATGAGTTCGATCCCTGGTCAGGGAACTTCCCACATGGTGCAGCAGACCTCTCCCGCTGCTCCCCTCAGCAGTGTATTTCAGTCAATCTGCCTGTTCTGTTCCCCCCCGCTCTGTCTCTGGTGAATCCTCTCACCCCCCACACCTCTGGCCTGTACCCCAGTTCTTGTATGCATAAATAAAGAAATCTTTTTTAAAAAAGTTTAATCTAGTGTAAGTATAGCCCATACAACACTTGGGATATACTTATACTAAGAATTTAATCCTTGCTTATCTTATTCAACTAGCTGTCCCATGTTTTATTTGGCATCCCTAATTTTATCACCACAGTTGTCAAGATACAGAACAGTTCCACCACCACTAAGTTGTTCCCTGCACCTCTCTTTAGGTCCACACCTCCTCCTCTCCCCCCAGCTCTTGGCAACCAATAATCTATGTTCCATCTCTAAAATGTTGTCATTTTTTTCCCCACTCAACCTAATACCCGTGAGATCCTTCCAGGTTGTTGCAGTTCTAGTGTGGTCCTTTTTATTGCTGGGGATAGTCCATGAGGGCCATTTTCCACAAAAAACAATTCTCTTTTAAAATTTCATTCATTCAATATATTTATCTACATTTTTTAAAAAAGATTTATTTATTTATTTATTTATTTATACAAGCACTGGGTACAGTCAGAAGCGCGGGAGGGCGAGAGAACCCACCGAGCCAGAGCGGGGAGCAGAGCAGGCAGAAGGACTGAAGTACACTGCTGAGGGGAGCAGCGGGCGGCAGGAGAGGTCTGCACACCATGTGGGACCCTTGCCCCGTGGCCGGGGAGCAGCCGGGGATCGAACCAGCGTTGCAGAGGCTGCGGGCAGCTTCGCAACCCAGAGCTCAACCGCTGCGCCACCGGGGAGGCCCTATCTACATATTTTTTAATGACATTTTTAAATTTTAAAATAATTTACTTAAAGGAAAAATTTTAAATTTACTTAAAGGAAAGCAAAAAAATGAGAGCATGGCTGGAGGGAGACTAGGGATTAGAAGAGGATTCTTTTGCAAGAGGAACAATGACAGGGCCCAGGGATGCTACTCAGCATGACACCCTAGAAGAACTGTGAAGGCTGATTCAGGAGTGAGAGGAGAATTGCTGAGTAGGCCAGAGGGACAGGTCCTCTTGCACAAGTGGAGTGGGTGACCTTAGGTAGGAGGACAGATGATTCATGGGCACAGCAGAATATGGAGCTCAGATGCAGGGAGAAGCCTAGCTTAGAATGTTCTAGCTTAGAACATGGGAAGTCCTCTTCTTGAAGGCTTCTATTTTCTCAGGAAAATAGGAGCCCAGCTAAGCTGCTGAGAATGAGGATGGGGGAAGAGACAGGATGAAAACTGTCCTCCAGGAGAGTGGAAGAATGAATAGTCGAGATATTTAAAGCAGGTGCACTGGGCAGTACACAGAACCCATTGTAGCTTCCTAGACACTGCTTTAAAGTGAGACTACTCAGCAGGCTGTGGGGATTTCTCTAGCCACAAAGGAGCAAGTGAGAAGCTGGTTGCAGCCCAGGCTGGGGTTTGCCAGAGGTTTGCCAGACAAGAAAACAAATCCAGAGTTCGCAAGGGACTTCACAGCAGACACACGGGAGTGTTTATAATAACAGAGCACATGACTTAAGGTAGGAGGAAGTGGAGACAGAAGTGTGAGGACCAGGGAAAATGTAGGTCAATAGTTTGGGTAGGTGAAGAACTAATGGAATTGGGTATCATTTTTCTGAAAGTTTCCTTATCTTTGGTTGTAATTTTTGGTTTAAAATATCAGTATCAAAAACATGTCATCTACATCTTAACAATAAAAAGGACCACACAATGACCATATCAAAGGATCAAAGAGCTTTATGTGAGCATTTCTTAACAAAAGGGTTAGGGTTAAATGTTAGCCAACAAATGCTAACTAATTTAATCAGCGTACAGAAGAAAACAAAAGTCAAGGTCACAGGAAGTACTTAAAGACCATCTTTCTACCTGTTACTCTTAAAATTTACATATGAAGATTTTAAAAGTGATATATGAACATAGAAAAAGAGTCCAAATGTACCAAAGGAAAAAGAAGTGTCCCTTCTACCCCAAACCTTCAGCCACCCCACTACTCCTTCCCAGAGTTAGTTATCATTTCTTGGGACTCCTGATATAGTAGTTTAAACATAGAAGGGCCTTATGTATGTCTGTGAGTTTACAGTATAATTCCTATTCTGCACTATCTTTTCACTTAGTAATATATTTGGAAGTTGGTACCTATCAGTCCCTAAGGAGGAGCTTGATTCTTTTAACCATAGAAAGTCTTTTTAAACTTTCCTCCT